GGGGGAAATATAGCTTCTCAAAGATGGAGAGAGCCAGGAGCAGGTGGCTCATGCCTGTAATCCTAGCACTCTGAGGGCTGAGGCAGGAGGATCCCTTGAGCCAGGAGTTTGAGGTTGCAATGAGTTGTGATGATGTCACTGCACTCTACCCAGGATAATAGAGGGGAGTCACTGTCTCCAAAAAAGAAAAAAAAGTGGGGGATAGGGTCCTAGGAGATTATATACAAGAGCAAACACCTATATAGCACTATGTGACAATGAATAGTCTTAAGCACATCACATATATTAACCCTTTGCACTGGGATATCAAGTGTGGATAATGTCGAGTGGATGATGAGAAAAAAGCAAGCGAGTGCAAAGGGTTAACTGATTTCATCTTCCTAACAACACTGTGAAGTAGGCATTACTGCTACCCCTATCTTAAGGAGGTAAACCTGAGTCACAAAGACCTCGGAATACACGTAGCTAATAAATGGTAGAGTAAGAATTTGAACCCAGGCAGCCTCGTTCCAGAGTCGATGCTTTTAATCACTACAGTAGCAGTATACCTCTTAAGAACACACAGCAAAATTGACATGGTAAATGCAAATAAAAGGCTTATTTTTGGAGAAAATGATACAGGGTTAAAATGTAAAGTGTTAAATAATAATAGTGAATAACAACCTAAGTCAGAGGTTCTTTTCAGGGACAGAACACCAGTGCTTGGTAAATATCATGATTTAACAATATAGGCATTTGCTATATTAGAAACTGTTTTGGACTTCAGCATAGTAGCTAATGCCAAGTATTTAATTAAAAAAATATTTTTCGGGCCAGGCGTGGTGGCTCACACCTGTAATCCTAGCACTCTGAGAGGCCGAGGCAGGCGGATTGCTCGAGGTCAGGAGTTCAAAACCAGACTGAGCAAGAGTGAGACCCCATCTCTACTATAAATAGAAATTAATTGGCCAACTAATATATATAGAAAAAAATTAGCCAGGCATGGTGGCGCATGCCTGTAGTCCCAGCTACTCGGGAGGCTGAGGCAGTAGGATTGCTTGAGCCCAGGAGTTTGAGGTTGCTGTGAGCTAGGCAGACACCACGGCACTCACTTTAGCCTGGGTAACAAAGTGAAACTCCGTCTCAAATAAAATATATATATATATATTTTTCGGCTGGGCATGGTGGCTCACACCTATAATTCTAGCACTCTGGGAGGCTAAGGCAGGATTGGTTGAGCAAAGGAGTTCAAGACCAGCCTGAGCAAGAATGACACCCCATCTCTACTAAAAACAGAAAAGTTAATGGGGCATCATGGTGCATGCCTGTGGTCCCAGCTACTCAGGAGGCTGAGGCAGGAGGATCACTTAAGCTCAGGAATTTGAGGTTGCAGCAAGCTATGATGATACCACTGAACTCTAGCCTGGGCAAGACAGTGAGACTCTGTCTCAAAAGAAAAAAATTTTTCTAAAATTGCAAGGAAGGACACAATTTTGTTGGCAAAACGCCTTGTTTCACTTCATGGAATGAGCAGTTTGAGACCAATGTTCAGAGGTGACTAGTGAAGATCATTTTGACATTCAGGGCTTATAATAGCAGCACTGGTAGACACAGCTGAAATGGCAAATAATGAAAATTGCTTTTGTATTTAGGACTGAAGGGATGGGTAATTAAGAGTAGAAACTGGTAAGGGACAAAGCATAACATGACCAGGAATTTGATGCTGTAGAGGGAAAGAAGTGGCAAAGAGCTGCTATTTGCTAACAAAGAAATAAAGGAAGATAAGGAAACAAACATTAAGTCTGAATAATCTTTTGGAGAATAAAAACTAATTAGCAGAAGATTTTCTAAGTGATGATAAATTGTCCAGATAGGGTAGCTGCAGAAAATACTGGACTAAACAGATGGATAAAGTCAAGCAAGAGTAAATTAGTAATTATCACTTCAATGAGCCCAAATACGGATATGGCTGATCAAGCACAAAAGTTGTCGCAGGAAACACAGCACAAAGGCCTATGGCAGGCATCCTCAAACTACGGCCTGTGGGCCATATGCGTGTGTTTTTGCCCATTTGATTTTTTACTTCAAAATAAAATATGTGCAGTGTGCATAGGAATTTGTTCACAGTTTTTTTTAAAGTACAGTCCGGTCCTCCAACGATCTGAGCGACAGTGAACTGGCCCCCTGTTTAAAAAGTTTGAGGACCCCTGGCTTATGGAATATTCAGCAAGGGAGAATGTTAACCCTCAGATACCATCAAATTCATTGAACGAACCCTTCTTGAAACCTACTATGTGTCTGGCAGTATTCTAGGTGTTCGGGATATGGCCTGACCATGCCAGGCCAAAGTCCTGCCTCGTGGAACTTACATTCTAATATGGGAAACTGACAACAAATATATTTGGAAGAGAACACTGAGTAAGGCCTTATCATAAAAGCCCTGAATAAAGCCCTTTAATACAGTGATATATAAATGTGTTTATGTGAGATATGTTAACACAATACTAACCCCTCTCCCAGGAAGCACTGGAGCCTAAAGCACTCATTCATTACATGCTCCTCATCCTCTCCAAAAACCAAAGACTAAACCAGAGAAATGTATGTAAAATGTATCTATAAATACAATTTGTCTTTTACTTCCCAGACAGCCTGTCAGTAAATTATATTTCAAAATTTTCCAAATTTGACAGTTCTTGGATCAAAAAATTTTACCAGTATAACCACTTTTCAAATAATCAGAAATACTTTTCTAATAGATCATAAAATTACAAGTAGAAAAAGTACCCTAATAAAGGAAAACAAATCTTGAAGTTAGAGAAAACCTCAAGATAAAGTTACAGAAAACTTCAAGATTTGGTCTTGGTGGGCTTTAAAAATCTCACCAATGTTTGGTTTACTACTATAAGCTATGACAACTGCCTTAGATTTCAAAAAAAATTAAGTTTAAGCACAAGTGTTGGATGTACTATGAAACTTTAAGGATATGACACTTCAAGGATAAACAGAGGATGTGCTATCTTTCGGGTCTCAAAGAAATTACTGAAAAAGAGCTCATTTTTAATACTCAGTTAACTACCAATCTCTTATCTCTCAGTGTAAAACCTATAAATCCAAACTATTCATTTATATTTTTAAAAGGAAAGATACAAAATGATATATATTTAAACATCTTATAGAAACCACAAGAAAAAAGGCACTGTTACAATTTTATATTCCTAAAGATACCTCATTAAAACAAATGTATTTCAGAAGATCCAAGCTACACAGCTATGCAATAGTCTGTAATGCTTACATACTACAGAAAGCTGATGTGAACCTATCACTGATTCCTCAAGTGTCTTAACAAGCAATCTGTTCTCTCTATACAAATGAAAAACAATGGGAAAGTACTTGTTCCGACATGAACTACCCTTGTAACAAAGCATTACACAATTTAATCTCATCTGCTTTACAATGTCAACATTTTTCTGTCCTACCATACCACTTAGTCAAGGAAGGATATAAAATTTAAGATGAACCTAACATTCTGGGGAGGAAGAAATTGTTATCCTGAAAGTCTGAAAATATTACTCACTTAAGATTTTTGGTTAAAAATACAAAACTCATTATTAAAACTAAAATGTCTAGCAAGCAAAGATTAGATGTAAAGTCAACTGATCCTGGTTTCCACAAAAAGCGCATTTCAGTCAACTTAGGTGGGTTTTCAGCAAGAAATAAGTCATATGGGAGAATTCAGTCTGGGAAGTCATTCTGGACCAAAGAATTGGTCCCACAATTCAGTTCACTTCATTCTAGTACAGGCAAGGAGACCTAAATTTAAAGTTAATGCCTACGCAAGTGGTTGCAGAAGGTGTTGTCTTACACTTTATTCCCTGGCACAAGCTAATCCTGAGATTTTAAATCTTCCTGACTTTTAGATGCATTTAAGGCGGCCATGAACACAAACAGTAAGATTTCAAAAAATAATCTCTGGGATACGATGCTTTGGGAAGCAGGCAGGATAAGCCATGGGGTTGCCGACTAAGGCTGCAAAATGCTGTCTTCATTTGGTGAGTCCCTGACTTGTATGAGTTAAAACTCTCACCCCTTATATTGCGATGACGTAATCTTCCACACTGCATTTCTCTCCGACTTAAAGGGGAGGAAAAAAACTAACGAACAAAGAAAATGTCCCCCTGGTAAGAGGAATTAGGCAAGCGGCCGAACGACAGTTTCGGGAGGTAGTTAGGTAACTCCCTGAAAGGGAAGCTTCAGCTGAATAAGCAGGGAGCGACTTGGAGAAGCAAACGGAAATATTAGGAACTCAACCTAAGGCAGGGATAAAGGGCACTGGAGAAACGGGGCTCAGACCCGCCCTGGCCAGACGGAGCGCCCGGCCCGGAGGCAGCGGGGGCAAGCGCGGCGCAGGCCCGGCCCGGGCAGCCCGCAAGCCGCCCCCTCCCCGCCGCCACTTCCCCGCCGCGGCTGCAATTCCGCTCCCCTCCCCCAGCCCGCCGCAAAATGTCCGCGGCGGCGCCGGGCGAAGCAGGAAGTAGAAGCGGGAGCCCCTGGGGCAGAGCCCGGCCTGCCAGCCCCGGCTGCCGGCCCACTCCAGGCGCCCCGCGCGGCTCCACTGCCCGCGGTCCCCAGCACCCCGGCCCGCCGCCCGCCCTCGGGAGCCCGCGGAGCCGGGCCGGAGGGGGAGGGGAGCCCGGGCGGCCGGGATGGGTGTGACCCCTTCCTTCCGCCGCGGCCCGGTGACAGCCCGGTCCCGCCCGCGCCCCCCGGCCGGCACCCCAGCCCCGGCCGCGCACCTCCCGGCGGGCGCGCGACCCCTGCCCTCGGCTCCCCCACAGAACACGGCCCGCGCTCGCCCGGAGAGAGCAGAGCGAGCCGGGCACTGCCCCACGCCCGCGCTTCCAGGCTCCCCGGGATCCCACAGGCGGGACGTCCCCGAGGACAGGGAGAGGCCGGGGACAGCGCGGCGGGGACGGGACGGGGCAGCGGACGCTCCCGCGGGGAGCCTCGGGCCCCGCACTCACCTCAGCGTCTCCACCGGGGCGTTGGCAGCACTGCGCGGGGTCTCCTCGGCTGCCGGACAGGGGCACGCGCCTGACGTCAGCACGCAGGAGACGCAGGGTTGGGTGCCCGCGGAAGTGGGCGGGACGGGGAAGGAGCAGAGTTGGGGCGGTTCGAGGTGGAGCCTGAGCCTCCTCCGGCTCCGCCCGCTTTGGGCGCACGCGCAGAGCAGCACGACGCGTACGTCCCGGGCTGTGCTCTGCACCTCTTTCCAACGGTTGTTATCTGTAATATTACTGTGAACTGTAGTTTGCAAAGTGAAGCAAAGTATTATCATCCCTATTTTGCAGAGCAGATGGAAGCTTCTTAAAGAGAAATAGTGATTTGCCTGAGATCACACTGCAAGTGAAGGGTCTCCCGACGCCCCCAGGCCTGTTTGCAGTCAGCCTTGGTGAGAGAACCGAATACCGCTGTTCTTATCTTGCCTGCACCCAGTGTCCCTAGCTGCAGCCACATAGGTCTTCTTTTGGGTTAGAGACTTCCTCCCCTCCCCAGGGCCTTGCACTTGTTTGCTCTCTCTGCCTGCCTCCTCTTCCCCAGACTTTTGGTTGGCTCTCAGCCCCCAAATGTCACTGCCTTCCCTGGTCATCCTATCTTCACAGCATCTGTTTATTATGTCTTCCCTACTAGTGTACAAGCTTCAGAAAAATGGTGGATCTTCCCTCTCTTATTCTCAGATTTCTCAGATGTTGCATAGCTTTTTTTTTTTTTTTTTTTTTTGAGACAGAGTCTCCCTCCTCTGCTTTCCCAGCTAAAGTGCAGTGGCTTCATTAGTAACTCACTGCAACCTCCAACTCCTGGGCTCAAGCAATCCTCCTGCCTCAGTCTCCCATAGTGCTAGGATTATAAGAGTGAGCCACCTCACCTGGCCCATAGCTTATCTTAATAATAGCGCTTTTATTGATTACTGCCACAGCTATTAGGCCAAGACAACAAAGTCACCTAATTCCAAAATATTTGACTTGATAGTCCTATTTTCTTTTGAATTTTTTAATTACACAATAACTACATTTTCTAGCATTTACTATAAGTATGGTGCTAACAGCTTTGCATGTAGTTGTAGCTCACTTAATATAGCCACCCTATGAGTTAAGAACTATTACCCCCATTTTATGGATGCATGTATTGAGGCTCAGAGGTGTTAAGGGACTTGCCCAAGGTTACCAAGGCAAGCAGGGGCAGAGCTGGGACACTGGCTCTAGTTAACCACTACAGTATCACACTACCCAGCAGGTTTATTATAGAGAAATCAAAATATATGCTTCGGCTGTAGTCCCATCCCTAATGATACTAACTGTTAACATTTTGGTGTACACCTTCCCAGACTTCTTGCTATGTCTATATACATTTTTTTTGCACAAAAACAAGATTGTAATCCCCTTTCTCTCTCCAAACTACATTGTGAACATCCTTCCATGTCAAATAAAGCATCATTTGTAAAGTCTGCATTCTTCTGTATGGGCATTACAATCTTTACCAATCTCCTATTGTTGGAATTTAGGTTGTTTGGGGCTATAGTAAATTTTTTGACTATTGTAAAAATGTACAAGCTTAGTTTCTTAAACCTGAGAGGAAAGTGGTCATTTTCTCCCTCCACAAGGCCAGTTGGCAGTGCCCTTTCCTTCATCCTGTCTCACACTCCCATGAATGTCCCCAGACAATGTCTGCCCTTTCCATCAGCAGCAATATCTTGATGGGGTGTCACCCAACTGCTCAGCTTTTCCTGCCTTTATTCTGAGGACAAGGACTCACTTAGTACTTTGTCTCTTATGTTGTCAGGTTTTTGTCAGAAGGGCCCTCCTGGATCTTTTAATAGCCCTAAAGGGCAGTGGCATTACTTCTTGACCCCAATCAATCCCATCCCTTCCTGCCAGCTTAGACCCCAGCCTCCTGGTGCCTCTCTTCACTGCCCTGCTGGCATAGCTTAACAGGAGGGGCAGCCTGTGGATCTCCCTTCCCCTGTGGGTCTCCCTTCCCCTGTGGGAAGCTCCCCTTCCCCTGTGGTCACCACTGCAGTGTCCATTCCTCCTCCTGGCAACAGCACTTTCATTTCTCCTGGAGCAATCCCTGCCCTAATTCCAATACATGTGACTCTAAAGAAGATGACTGTACCTCCATTTGCAGGGATGGACACGTGACCCTGACTTGGCCAATCAGAGAATTATAGAGAGCCCTGTTGCCACAGTACTTCAGCAATGGGCATGTGACCCAATGAGATTCGATTCTGGAACTTAGGTCAGAATCATCCACTTCAATGAATAGATTTGCTGAGGGCAGGATAATCATGGCATTGCTGGCAGCCAGCTTCCCAGTGCATGGAGAGAGACTGCCTGAGAATAAGAATGAGCCCCAGACAAAGGAAGGAAGCAGAGCTGAGAGATGGGCCATGCATGGTGGCTCACGCCTGTACTCCTAGCACTCTGGAGGCCGAGGCGGGCGGTGGATTGCTCGAGGTCAGGAGTTCGAAACCAGCCTGAGCAAGAAGAGACCCCGTCTCTACTATAAATAGAAAGAAATTAACTGGCCAACTAATATATATAGAAAAAAATTAGCCAGACATGGTGGCACATGCCTGTGGTCCCAGCTACTTGGGAGGCTGAGGCAGTAGGATTGCTTGAGACCAGAAAACTGAGGTTGCTGTGAGCTAGGCAGACACCAGGGCACTCACTCTAGCCTGGGTAACAAAGTGAGACTCTGCCTCCAAAAAAAAAAAAAAGAGCTGAGAGATGAAGACATGAAACTGAGTCCCAGTGACATTGCATGAACCATTGGATTCAGTCGTGCTTCAATCCTCAGTCACATTAGCCAATAAATTCCCTCTACTTCCTGAACCAAGTTGAGTAAGTTTCTGTCACTTACAACTGCAAGACTCTTGATGACTCACTCACTCTGCCACTCCGGCCCACACCAGTCTTCCCCTGCATGGTCCTTATTGCCACCCTCTATGTAGATGACTCCCAAATCTATGCTTCTTTCCAGCCCCTATTTCTACCCTCACTTTCAAATTTCCAGATATTCCACACCAAACCACCGAAGTCATCTTCAATCCCCACCTACTCCAGCTTCTGCGGCACCTACATCTGCTCTTGAGCTCTGCAGCCTTGCACATCCAGAGGTCCCCAACCTTTTCTGCATCACAGATCCTATGCCCATAGAATTCACATCCAGTTTCTAGAGGTTTCTTTTATTTATTTATTTATTAAGACAGAGTCTCACTCTGTTGCCCGGGCTAGAGTGCTGTGGCAGTTAGCCTAGCTCATAGCAACCTCAAACTCCTGGGCTCAAGCGATCCTCCTGCCTCAGCCTCCCGAGTAGCTAGGTCTAGAGGCATGCACCACCATGTCTGGCTAATTTTTTCTATATATCTTTAGTTGGCCAATTAATTTCTTTCTATTTTAGTAGAGATGGGGTCTCGCTCTTGCTCAGGCTGGTCTCTAACTCCTGAGCTCAAACCATCCACCCACCTCGGCCTCCCAGAGTGCTAGGATTACAGGCGTGAGCCACAGTGCCCGGCCTAGAGGCTTCTTTTAATAATCTCTGTTGAAATTCATTTTACACAGCACAGCATTCGTCTTCCCAGATCTCAGCTCCAATTGAGTCATTCCCCTGCTCAGAAACCCTCAGTGTTGACTCCTTTGTCTTCAGAATAAAATTCAAGTCCTTTAGCCACACATTCTGGGTCCTCTGTGATCTAGCACCAACTTGCCTTTCCAAAGTTATCTCCCTTTCCCATCTGTATTATTCAGGGTTCTCCAGAAAAACAGAACCAAGAGGATGTTTATATAATATATACAGAAAGAGAGAGAGGGAGAGAGATTTTTATAAGGAATTGGCTCACACAATTATGGAGTCTAACAAGTCCCAAGATCTGCAGGATGAGTCAGTGAGCCGGAGGTTCAAGAGAGTTAATGGTGTAGTTCTAGTCCAAATCCTAAAGCCTGAGAACCAGAAGAGCTGATGTTTCCATTCCAATCTAAAGGCCAGCATGCTGAAGACCCAGGAAAACCCAACGTTTTAGTTTCAATCTAAAGGCAAGAAAAATTCTCCCCTATTCAAAGGAGGATCAACCTTTTAGTTCTACATAGGCCTTCAACTGACTGGAGGACGTCTGTCCACATTAGAGAGGGCAATTTGCTTTACTCAGTCTACAGATTCAAATGTTAACCTCATCCAGAAATACCCTCATAAATACACCCAAAATAATATTTGACCAACTATCTGGGCAACCCATGGCTTAGTCAAGTCGATGTATAAAATTAACTGTCATACCTTTCATCACACACCTATACTGCAGCGAGACTGAAGTACCTAGTATTAGGCAGGCCAGGTACCATGATTTCTTGCCTCTCTGCTCCTGCTCATGCTGTTCCTTTTGCCTAAAACACTTTTCCTGTTCATCCATCCTATCTGTCAAGTCCCACTTTCCCTCCCACCATGTTCCTACCATGAACCCGACCTTTTATTTTTTCAGAGACAGGGTCTTGCTCTGTTGCCCAGGCTAGAGTTCAGTAGCATCATCATAGCTCACTGCAACCTCAAACTCCTGGGCCCAAGTGATCCTCCTGCCTCAGCTTCCCCAGTAACTAAGACTACAGGAGCACATCACTACATCTTGCTAATTTTTTTATTTTTTGTAGAGAATATGTTGCCCAGGCTGGTCTTATGCTCCTGGCCTCAAGCAGTCCTCCCACCTCGGCCTCCCAAAATGCTGGGATTACAGGCATGAGCCACCGCTCCAGCTACAAACTGACCTGTGTGTTTTCTCACCTGTGTGCCTCTGCAGAGTTGGTGGCTCGTTTCTCTGTCTGCCAAACTGTATACTTCTCTCCTTCAAGGACTAGGCCTCAGCTTTAAAGCCTCCCCTGACAACCACACATTCTAATGATATTGTATTTAAAGCATATCATATTGGAATTATAGGTATCTATGCTAACTAAACCATTAGGCCTTAGGGCTGGGACTGTGGGCTGCCGGGGTGCCAGCGCCTGGGCCTCTAAATAAATAAATAAACCATTTGGCCATTAATAGACAGAGATCTTATCTTATTCATTTTTGTATTCTTTTACCCAATTTCCTGGCGCAC